TGTGTGTGTGTGCGTGTGTGCTCGTCGTTCTAGTGTTTGGTTGATTTATTTATTTTTAATTTACAAAAATGTTATAAGAAAAAAACTCTTTAGTTTTAAAAACAAATGTAAATATTGATTATTGGGAGAGAGAAAAAAAAAACGTCTTGTTTGCTGAGTTTGTTTTTTTCGATTCTCACTTGAAATGATGACGAAAACCATGTGATGACGTTGATGATGCCGATGCTGATTCTCTCCGCCCTTCTTGAACAAGGGCTCTTGATGTCCGCTGTGTTTTCCTTTGAGGCGTTGTGAGGTCGGAGCAAGAGAAACAAAGGGAAAGGAGTGATATCCAACACATCCCTGGCCCACTGTAGCAACACTGCCACATGCCTTCATGACCTTAAAATCCCACCCCCATTCCTTAAACACACACACACACACAGGAAAGATAAGACATAGTTTGGGATGTTTGGAACAGCGGATCACACTTAGGTCTTCTGTTACATATCTCTGATTTGTACCCAGCTCCCTTCGCTGTGAAGGCGGCTCCGCCCCGGTCTTGGCTCCACACTTCACTGTCTCTGATTCCAGACCTTAGGATTTACTGTAGTGCCGTTGTGTTAGACTGGATAGGCCCTGTCCTGATTGAAGTTGAAGTCATTATTGCTCTGCTGGGGCGGGGGGGGGGGGGGGGGGGGGGCAGTCTTTGTGATGCTCATGTTTGGAGACGGCGGTGGAGGGACGTAAACTGATGCAATAATGTTGCAGTTTTCAGGCACTGAGCTCTCAACAGAGCTGCAGATATTTGTATGAACTCTCCAATTTGACAGACACGCAGGGAAAAGGACAAAAGCAGACCCATAAATGTGTCCGCCTCAGTGGACATTAGGAGTTCATTCTCTCCTTCTGCCACTTTTTTTTTTTTTTCTTTCTATTTTGAGTCACAGACTCTGCCTCCGCAGTCAACAAACAAGGGCAAAACACAACCCGGACAGCCCCACGCTGCTGCTCAGAAATGAAATTGAATTTCTAAGAAGGTCGCCGTTAGTTCATTTAGAATTATAATCGGCATGATTTTTATTTTTTTTTTTAAAATCTCTTTGAATTCAAGGTTCAGTACAATTAAACTCCATTGAACATTTAAAAAGTATTCTTGGAGTACATTTCATAAACAACGGCAAAAAGGTCAAAAGGGTCACGAAGTCAACGCTAATGTCGCTTTCGAAATTTCAGAATCCGCGCGTCTCTAAAAAAAAAAAAAAATCGTCACTGTGCCTTTTGTCACAAATACTATATATTTACCACTGCCACACGACAAAGACAGCAGTTGGTGAAAATGCCACTCCAGGAGTGTCCGTATCCGCGTCTGTTTTCTTCTGCCACCGTTACCTCATTATCGGGCCCGGTCAGTGTAGAGTCCAGAGAGAGAGAGAGAGAAAGAGAGCTTCTCAGTTTCACATGACTTGTAGGAGTGTAAGAGTACAACAGATACTCCCAGCTGCTGCATGTGGGCAGGACGGTGGATACTGCCACTGAGCTGCCTTCACTCGAAATACCAAACCATCCTGTAGAGGGAGTCTCATTAGAGAAAACACACACACACACACAGAGAGCTGCCATTTTTCGATGCACTGAAAAATACATTTGGATTATGTTCCCCCCCCCGATGATGTATTCTTCAGAGTATTTTCTTCTTCTCCTGCTTCTTGTAAATAAACCCTGTGAACCTGTTAGAGCCGACTCTAACTCCTGCCATATATTTGTGGACGTTTTTCGATCAGGTAGGTAATAAGCAATACACGCGACTGATCTTCTGCCATACTTTTGAGATATCCCTTACAGTGAGTCTGACTGTGACTCCTCCAGCATTTAAGGGATGTGGAGGGTAGCACTCNNNNGGCCCACCTCTTCAACAACGAGTGCTCAAACTCGGGAAAAAAAAAACAACAACAAAAAAAAAAAACATCCAATTGTGACGTGTACAATCTGATTTGATGATTTGTGTATTTTTGCCAACTTTGTATAGTGTATAAAATATCTATAAATATATATATGAAAAATGACAGTACTGTATAGATTTTAGCTGCCTGGTAAGGTCCATAGTATATACTTGGTAGACTAAAAGAAAAAGCGTAGAGCTGTTCAAAAGCCAGTCATTGACAAACTGCTTTCTGTAAAATCTGGTGCCACTGGCTCTTTTTATATCCTCGCTTTGGTTAGTTATTTATTTTTTCGCTTTATTTTTTTTTTAAAAAACAAAGCCAGTCGGAGCCAAAGTGTGTGTCGTTCTTCTTCGCGTCTCTCTTTCTTTGGTGATAGATTGATTTGATGTCTTTTCTTTTCCTTGATAAGACACAGCGAGATTCTGGCACCCAGGAGAGTGCAGTGGAACGCAGCCCGGCACCCTGTGTAGTAGCGTGCGTGCGTGTGTGTGTGTTAGCTGTGTGTGTCCGTCCGTAGTAGTGCTAGTGCTCTCTGTGCAGTGCCTCCTCCGCCCCCTCCTCCTCCTCCTCCTCCCTCTGATGTAGTCTGTCATGTGACGTGGTGCGTGTTAAGGTGCAGGATGACTGTGTTTCCCGAAGCTGGCAGATGCCCTCGCTCTCTCTTTCTCTCTCTCTCTCTCTCTCTCTCACACACACACACTCTTTTTCTCATCATGTCTCTCCACTTCTTTAATGCAAAACTCCACCCTTCAGTGTGTACAGATTCCCACGTCCTTCCCGTCCAGCTGTACTCTCTCTCGTTCCATGCCTCCTCTCCTCTCCTCTCCCGTCCGTCAGCCACCTCGGGCAGCGGAGCCTGTTTATCTGCAGACCTCTGCAGACCTGAGTGTGATTTAGCACAAAATAAGAAGGGGGTGGAACATCGCTCACCTGCTCACACCTTTCTGATTTCTGTCCTGAGAGCGAGGGCGTCTGTGAGCTCGGCGCACGGCGGCGACCAAGCAGCCATGTTCACAAGTAAAGCACAGAGCTGTGACACAAATCTATGTTGTGGCGGCGTTCACTGCTGCCATGTTTGTAGCATGAGACAAGCCTTAAAGAGTGGACCAACTACACACACACACACACACACAGAGAGAGAGAGAGAGTGGGATATGTGCATTTGCAGTCAACTGTTATGACCTTCCCTTTCCCACACCAGATTTATTACTCGGTATTCTGACGTGTTGCTTGGTTGCTCTGTACATATATATGAATATATATATATATATATATATTTATCTGTGTAGTGCTTCTGTTGATGTCCTCGTGTTAGACTAGTAGCGGGTTCTTACTGGGCGTCCTCCTGCGTGTCCTCTTCCTCCTGACCCGTCCTCCTCTCCTCTCAAACTTCAAACATTCCATTTGTTCCGAGTCAGCGACCGTTCAGAGGTGATTGGCCTCTGAGGAGCTGAAACCACAGACACACACTTTTACTGGAGCCATGGCAGGTCTCGTCTGTGATCACTGTCCCCCCTGGGAATCACAACCCTCCCGCTGAGAGATTTCTCTGCTTTAAGACCCTCAGACACGCCACTCTGCTCCTCTAAACCCACCTGCACACAGACTACACCTGGCTTTCTGAGAACCCTGGGCTGCTGAGAGATAGAAGAAATCACTCAGCCCCCGCAGGGAAAAGGCCAAGTGCGGTAAATAAGGAGGTGGGAGAGCCCTGGGAGGCAGCAGGGAGGTGTGGAATCGTGGCTCACATCATGGGTCAATCAGGGAACGGAGGGAGAGCACCCGGAGGTCAGACCCAGTAGCAGCTTTGGTTCGGCGTTCCATGCTTTTTAGGCCTCTCCTGTTTTTTTGGCCGAGCGGACTGTGATCTTACTGGTTGATTTTTCTTGTTCTCCTCCATCCATCAGTGTTATACAGAGTGTGTTGGATGGGTGGAGCCTTGGAGCTGAGCTCTGATTTTGTTCCATATTAAAAGAATCATTTTTACTAGACACGTGTTCGGAGATTTATTGTCTTTGGTCGTCTTTTACCCCCGACCTCTGGTTTGAATGAACTTTGAATCTCTGCGTGTTACTGCGCCACAGATCTTCAAGATACTAGAAAATCTTTTCCTTTTCACGATCCTCCCGCTTTGCCATGTAGTTTAAACATCGACTTTTCATGATAAGTTAACTGAATGACTAATCACGGGCCTTTGCGGACAAGTGATAATAATTAACACCAACGTCATGAACATGAAAGAAGTGAAACCAATGACTGTTACTGCCTTACAGAGTGCTTGGTACTTTAGGTGAAATGATAAATGCTACATTGTTTTTCACATTATTTTCCAGTCATTTGGCTACATTTCACTGACTGTTTTACTCTTTACTCTTTTTCTGTCAAACTTATTTTTGAATAATTCACAGACTGTTTTTTTTCTTTTTTTCAGTTTTTTTTTTCATTGACAAAACTTTATGCCAATTCCTGATGGACACATTTTTCAGTAGAAAACATATGTAGTTTGAAAGTATAACTCTGAATATGTCATTAGCTAAGCTTTAAAAAAAAAACCCAGAAGAGTTGGGATTGGCTTCCAGTTTGTTCTATCAAGTATAAATAATTAGTTAATAGACATATATATTTTTTATTTGTAATTTGTTCATAGTTTCTTTAATAGTTTCTTTATAAAAAAAATATATAAAAAATTCCGACCTCTACGTCCTACTACGGCTCCAACCTGTTCTTACCGCTGTACTCTGTCGTTACGTGACAAACTTACCGTCTGATGTGTTCACACAGCGTGAGATTATGTGTAAAAGAATAGAAAAAAAAAAAAAAAAAACTCGACTCAGATAAAAGCCAAACCAAACCAGGTCCAAATGGAAAGATAATGATAGATAAAGAGAGATACAGAGAGATAATGGGATAAGTGGTCCCTGCTGCTGGCCTCCCCTCACCATCCAAACCACCCGAACACCACTGTCATATGAAATGAATAAGGAAAGAATGGGAAAATTGAATAAACCTTTAAAAAGGCCCCAATTTTTTTTTTTTTTTTTTTTTTGCAAATGGCTCCAGTTGGTTAATACTGGTGCTTCACAGTTCTTCTCCCTATTTCCTATGTGGATGTCTGGGATTATACCACTCTCCAAAAATGGTCCCATCACAATTGCGTTCTGGAGTTAAGCTTTATGGTTCTATGGTGTAGCGGTTAGCACGCCTGCCTCGGAAAGCAGGAAGCAGAGAGTCCTGCGTTTGATTCCTAGATGAACCTCATGCTTGGCGCTTGCCAGGGGGCAGCCTGTTAACAGCATGTCTGCTGCGAACACAAGAGTTTCCCAAATATGGGATCAGTATAGTATACGTTTATTTTATTTATTTTTATGTTAAGGTTTAGTCTCGGACTAGTCCGACGTGTTGGAATCATGTTGATGTGTATATATGTGTATCATTAACCAAAGAAAATGAAAAATGTTAGTTGTAGACCCCCCCAGTTGTCTGAAAGTTTTGCTTCCTTGAAATCTTCTTCTTCACCGTGACTCATGTTCACACCGCCGCGTTGCTAACTGGAGGTTTAGTTGCAGCACATCAAGGATCAAATTGCGAAACGTAAACAGCTGAACAACTTACTGGCCCATCAACATAATGCAGAAATAGATTGCTTCTCTCTAATCTCCTCCTCATCAGGTCACAGAGTATGGCTCGCCGTCTTTGTGTCCCAAAACGTACGTGTCCCGACTTAAAATGGTTCATTTTACACTCCAACGGCTCCGTGCTCGTCGCCGCGTGCCGCCGTGGCATTACTCACTCTGAGCTCAGAATGGGAAAAGATGACAGTGCAGTTTGCTTCAATCCTCGCGTCCCCAACATTTGCCTATTAAGTACAGAAGTCAAGGAAGGAAGCGGGGAGACGATAAGACAGGTCATTAAAGTAGAGTGGCGCAGATGGACGTCCGAGGTGTGTGTCTCACGAAAACATGGGTCAGAGCTGCGAATTTGTATTTATGTCTCCGTAAACTTGGGCCCTCAGGAACAAAAATAAAAATCCTGTTAACAGGAAAACCTTTTTGAACCAGAACATCAGGAGCAGCAGTGAACAAGAGAGAGAGAGGGAGACAAACACGAGGACAAACTCAACGCCGACAGACGTCCCGCAGACGTGGCCGAGGTTTCATCCCTCACTGAAGTACAACAGACGGCTGCAGGCCAGCCAAGTGCATCGACTCGACGGGAGACACCTGCTAGCATCACCACTATATCTATTTTTGGAAACACTGCACCCATCGTTCCCCTCCCTCCAGCTTCCTCTCTGAGAGTTACCTCAGTGTAGTTTTGCGTTACTTCCTCCTGTTGGCGTCGTGTCTGAATTAGAGTGAGAATAATTGACTAAACCGCAGAGGCGAACGACCCGAGGAGAGACGTGGGTCCACGGGGGCTTCATTTCAAACAGATCACAGCAGGTGCCTCCACCCATCTATCCCTCCACCCTGACATTCCGAATCAAGTTCTTCCAGTCGGTGAAATTATCTACTGTAAATTATCAACCGACTGAAATGAAAATCTGAGATTGGTCTATTTCTGCTGCACGGATCCCGGAGAAATTATAATTAGAAATGCCAGTGATGGGCACTTTGTGTTTAAAAGAAAGGAGGCAGGAAATGAGACTGTCAGTTCCAATGATGTAGGCGTTTCCTTGTAGATATTTTTTTTTAGAGGAGATAATGAACAGTTCCAGGCCTGGAACAATGCCATGACAGGCAGGAAAGAGGGTGGGACAGCAACGCGATCAACAGCTTGGTAAAGATAGGCTCTGCTGACTGTCAGTGTTGGACAGATGGAGGAAAGAAGGAGCTGCAGAGGTGAGGACGCTTCAGGAGATGAAGGAAATTAGAGGAGGACGAGGAGACATGGTGAAGAGGAAAGGTGTGGGAATGATGTGACTGTCGCACATTCGGTGTTGCACGTTGTAACCACCGGACTGAATCCTTGTGTCAAGAATTGGCACTGAAAAAAACCCGACCGAACCCTCGTGTTCCCACTTGTTTTTTTGGCTGTTCTCGTTAAAAGTTAATAAATAAAGTCTGTGTCTGAGGTGATCTTAGGGCGTCGTTGTCAGTGTGTGTGCAGGTGTGGAGGTGAAGTACAGACAGTTACCACAGATGGATGATGTCTCTCTGTCTCTCTGTCTCTCATTAAGGTTGGTATCGAGATTCCATGCAGATTTATAGCCATCTATCATTTCAACACAACCTTGACATTTCCTCTCGGCCAGGCTCACAGCAGCGTTTATTGAGACATTACACTGCCATCTAGCGGGGAAAAAATAAAAATAAAACTAACCGGGCAATATGTAACTGTTGAGCCTGGAGACTATCTGAGACATACACACTTGTCATTTTATATTTCAGAACGTGTAATATATACAACACAAGGCCGACTTTGTAATCGAACGGTATTAAAACTTTTACATTTTAAATGACTTTTTTTTTTTTTACTATTTAAAATAATGTCATTCAGCTCTACCTTTTATCTGCTGCAACAAAATATCATCAGGCACAAAAGTAAAAAGCAACAAACAACAGCAGTGAGATATGAGCCGCTCCGGTCTCATTTTTTTCTGCTGTAGTGTTCGGCTTTAACACCAAATCTCCTAGCAACAGAGGCCTGTAACCCATACAACCACAACAGAGCAGAGAGGTGAACCGGTGCCACCGACGACACAGGTATGTGTGAAAAAGAGCATGTTTTTCTGGACTAGAAGTTTTTTTTAATGTGTTTTACTGCTGCTGAGTTTTCAGTTGGGGCTGCAGAGTGAAAAACCTACAGTCACGTTTACAGACCGTCCGTCGTTTTTCATCTGTGTTCACAGCAGTTGCTCCCAGCCGGGGGGATTTTTCAATCCATCACTGACAGTTCTTGGTGAAGGTTTCTATTACGGCTGTCGCAGACGGATGATTCAGGGAGAAAAGTCATGTCAGCTGATGGAGCAGCGGGCACGCCGTCCGGTGACACGCTTGGGTTTATACACAGAGAAAACACACATGGTAAGAGAGGTGGTTTTTTTTGTTTTGGTTTTTTTTGATTGAAACAGAGGTTGTTTGTCTACATCTCCATATCTCTGTCTGTTTTAGGCAGAGGAAAAGTTCACTTCACTCCTTTCCTCAGAGGTCCTAGTGCCACCGGCTACACAGCCAATCAGAGGCCTGCTGTGTATTACACACCCCACCTGGATCACACTGACAATCCTCAGCTAGGGTCAGTATTTGAGTTGACAATCATCAGACGTGTTGTGTAAAAATAAAACGAAAAAAAGATACACTCAGACGTATGTGTAAAAATAAAACGAAGAAAAGATACAAATATAGATATCCTTATTATTTAGTGATATCTACACACAGTAAATGGAGCATTCTTCCTGTTGAGACTTTTAGTGATAACTACACACAGTAAATGGAGAATTCTTCCTGTTGAGACTTTTTTTAGTGATAACTACACACAGTAAATGGGACATTCTTCCTGTTCAGGATGCATGAGGCTAAATTCAGTGATGTAATTCACACTCCATAACATAGCAATGATATGAACTAACCTCATAAAGAGGAGAGTCGGGGGAGTTTGTGAGAAGCTTTCTAATTAGTCCAAATAATTGGATTCCATCTCCTCTGATGAAATAGAAGTGAATTTACAGTAAAGGGACTCTTACGGCCGGGTGGTAGCAAACAGCAAATAGCCTGCGTGTGATTCTCTCCGATCGCTGTGTTGTCTCCGTCTGCAGCCTCCTGCTGTCTGACTCTTTCACGTCTCAAACCAAACGCCACTATCAGAGCCACGTCAGCTCGGATCGTTCGAACCCGTTACCGAACCTGTTCAACAACCGGAGAGACGGTGGCTTCCATCAGCTGAAGACTCACCAGAGAACTGTGTCCAGCAGTGACGAGGTGTGAAAATACTCAAGTGTTTATTATAGACGTGTGTTTGGCATGTAGGAAAACTGTGTTAATATTTGTGAATACCTCCCAGACGGAGTACCAGCAGTTTTTTGTGCCTCACCATCTCACATCAAAAGGTAAATAGAAAAGAAAAAAAACAGCGATGTTTTTTTTTCTAAGCTTCTAGTATTAGCAATCCAAATACTGATTGAACTTGAATTTATCCTTTTTTTTTTTTACAGCGTCTGTCAAACATGTGTCTATTGGACCTAAAGTACCAACTGGTTTTACTGAGGGAGCGGACCTTCACTTCATCACCTTCCAAGACAAGAAAAGCAGCCTGGTGAAAACTGACTTTGTCTTCTTCTATGCTACAGCTAGAAGTAAAGTAAAACCAAATAGATCAGTGGTTCTCAAACTGTTTCTACTCTGTACCACCTGAGAAAACACTGATCTCTCTGAGTACCACCATGATGACCAACATTAGAATTTTCAACTGAATTTTTCCCACGTACCACTAGAGAGCGCTGACGTACCACTGATGGTACACGCACCGCAGTTTGAGAACCACTGAAATAGATCATATATATTGTATTAAGTTTTCACGGTTTGTTTGTCCTGTGTTACGTCACTCGTCACTTCACTGACGTGACCTTCTGCTTTTTCAGACATGTCGGGAACCTCAACGCTCCTCAGTGATGAAAAGTGACTTTGTTCGTTCACCGTTCGTGCAGGTTGTTGTACGGCACACGCTGCTGTAAATAAAAAAGTAGGCGATCTGATTGTGGTGAGTGTTGAGAACATCTTTGTTGTGTGTGTGTGTTTGAGGCCACTGAGGCGACGCCAGGCCTGCGCCACCGTTCATGTCGTGAGACAGGATTCAGCCGAGACACCGTAGCTCCAATGGTTCGTCCAGTGAGTACCGAGCCCTTCTTTTACTACGAGTTGTACGCTTCGACTTTACAAAAACAACAGTGTGTTCTTCTCATGCATCAGCAGACACCCGTCTCTGCTCCACCTCAGATGAGAACCTCCGCTGCGGGACTGAAGTCAATAAGCAGAAAAGTGAAACTTTTGTAGCTAACAGACACTTTTCTCTAGTTTTTCCCTTGTTATCTTGTAACTCCAATTGACGCCACTGGGATTCTTGTGTTCCGTGTTTTAGGAGCCCACTGGGTTTCTTCTCAATGGCCCAAACAACCAGGTTTTCCCAAATGCACCCTTCGGTGTTCCACACTTCACTACACATTATAAGAGCACGTAAGTGAGTTTGAGACATTCTGCAATTTAAAAAAAGAAAAAAGAAAACATTTGAGACATTCTGCAATTAAAAAAAAAGAAAACAAAGAAAAAAGAAAACGCTTTGACATCCTTTACTAAAGTTAATGTAAAATAGAGGGATCGGTATTATCTGTTAAAACACATTCGTCATATGTTATTTCTAATTCTTCTATCTGTGTGTTTGTTTGTGTAACTACCTAGTTTCACTCATGGCGCTGACTGGAAATCTGGTCGCACTGATGCCGGAATCATCCCAAAAATGGACAACGCCTTCAACCACAGGGACACTGACAGGTGAGCAACCAATTAAAAGTGCAAAAAGCGTACTTTTCTGTTAATTTGATTGACGCATCACACATATTTATTCCACAGGTTCATCATCAAAGGTCGAAACGTAGCACGCATCAAGGCTTGATTTCGTGTCTGCTTGTGGGATCCTCTCTTAAAGTGAGGATTTGCATGGATGTCTTTTGTGAATTTCGGTAAAACAGAACAATTGGTTCATTTTTGAATTCTGAAGTGTTCGCTTTCTTCCGCCTCAGCTTGGTTTCCTAATCGTTTTGTCAATGCCTGACATCCTGCCAGTCGTACAGTTGTGTGAAATAATCGGTGTGAAGGAAGTGACTCATTGTTTCCGACTGCCTCCCTCCCACTGACCTGTGGAGAATGAGGAATGGAAACCAATGTGCAAAATAATTACCCTCCAACTAAATATGGCGCTGATTTCCGTGAAAGTCTATGGTGTCAGATGGTTTACCACCCACGACTTTTAAAGGAACTGCAGCAGGACTCCAGTTGAGTGCTTCCTAAGAAACCATGTAAATCACAGGTCCTCATCTTGGCACCAAAGACTGTTGGCACCAAGGGGGTCATTTTTCTTGTATTTTCTTTATACGCAAAGTCTGTTTAGCCTTTGTGATTTGATTTGTTTCCCAAATGCCCTTGCATTCATTACTGGAGGGTTTTCTTTCACCAAAACTGTGGGATAAAACTTTTTTGTCCTACCATGAATGGTCCACCAATGTATTTCTACAGAATGAAAATAAAGTAACACCTTTCTGCTCAATTCAGCCCTAGGAATTAAACAATAATACAAACAATTGCTGTAAGAATTTTCTATAGAACAAAAATACCCAGAAGACTCTCTGTATCGATGAAATGTTTTTAAAGAGATAGTGTTGCACGTCAGTTCAGAAACACTTTTCAGTCTGACTTACCTCTGCAACAGTGAATACTGCCGCACGGCCACATGAGAACAGGCGTTAATATTTCAGCACTGGGATAAATATTTCACTCCTTCAATAAGATTGGCGAAACAGATATGTGGACGGAGAGCGAATTAGATTACATATGAGCTCCGCATGAATAATGAGTGTGGAGATGAGAGGAGAACAAGGCCGGTTTTCATCTGAGTTTGAAAGTAAAGCAAGTTGCCAAAAAGATGTCCTGGAGAACCTCGGTGGACCAGAGTCTCTGAGCCGAAGTGAACGTTTAGGCTTGACTTCCTGCGAATGCACCTTTGGGTCGGTGCTGGTGTCTCGAGCCTCCCTATGGACGTACCTTTTATGGTGAGGCACCCCAGCTATTCATCCCTGTAATAATCCTGCTTGTCCTCCGCTCTGTCTTGACACTGACACTCCCAGCACTGCTTACACCAGGCTAACAAGGTGGTGTGTGTGAGTGTGAGTGTCGGGGATGTTTATGATGAGATTGACTGGTTTGTAAATCTTAATCCAGTTCTCGGCCCGGGCACTAAGACTAAGGTTATTAAAAATACTGACATGGATATAAAACAGTTAGAAACCATGACATGGGGAAAACAGGAATCAATGATGGACAAAGACTTGGTCAAAGGATTTTAAACTTTATAGTGGAAGACCTGATCTCCTGTGTACACTCACAGTAAACAACCATACACAGGGAATATCGCCGCACTTGATCTGAGTCCTGCTCTGATTTGAGTTATCCTCAGCTGAAGGACACGTGTCTGTGTACAGAACTACAATGCACAGCATTAGTATCACCGATAAAACTGATCAGAAATCAGCGGCATAGCGAAAAATATCCGAACCCATGGTGTAATAAACCTGCAGCTGCAGCTAGTGGAATTCTCTCTCATTTTGGATCTTCCTCCTCGTACTCATAGTCCGTTTGAACCGTTTCATATTCCAGCTCCTCGCCGTCGTACTCAAATCCTTCCCCTTCACATATGAGCTCCTCTGTCTCATATTCAACGCCCTCTTCATTGTACTCAAGCTCGGCCTCGTCGTACTCAGTGAAAGGCATGTCTCCCTCCTCCAGCTCCTGCTCCTCCTCCTCTTCTCCAGCCAGAAGCTCTTCATCTTTACCTTCGGCGTCATCTGCTGCCGAACTCGGTGTCTGTTTTGAGCTGCTGTTCTTCAGAATCCCATGCACTTTTACTGGCTCCTCAGCTGCCAGAGCCAACTCCTCTGCCTCCTTCTCTGCAGCCTTTCTTTTCCTCTCCTTTCTTGCCTCGCGTGCCTCCAGAAATTCTGCGGCTCCTTCCCCCACTACTATCACCTCCTCGCCCACTAAAGGAGGTTCCTTGACTGGGTTATGGTCATAGGAGAACAGGTGCAGGGCTTTGAGGCGCTTCAAGCTGGGGAATTCTGATATCTTGTTCCTATCAACGTCCAAGATCTCCAGGTTCTTCATGCGCAGTAAGACTTTGGGGAATTCATCAAAGCGGTTCCCGTAGAGCCATAATCCCCTCAAAGACTCCATGCGCCACAGGTCATTGGGCAACGACTTCAGCCTGTTGTCCCCGATCTGCAGGGACTTGAGGTGTGGAAGGTCGTAGAGCACCCGCGGGAATCTTTGGAAGTAGTTGCTCTCCATCCACAGGCAGCGCAGATTCTGCAGGTTCTTGAGCTCAGGTGGGAAGACCATCAGCCTGTTGCTCCCCAAATACAGTCGAGTGAGTTTGGTGAGCTGGCAGACGGCCAATGGGACGTCTTCTATCTTATTGAAGTCTAGGGCCAGTGTCCGCAAATCCTGCAGCTGGGAGATGGTGGGGGGCAGGGTTCGCAGGCTGTTCCCACAAACATACAGTTTTTCCAGATGCAGCAGTCCACACACACGTGACGGTAAACGCTTGAATTTGCGGTAGCTCAGCTCCAGCACAGGGTCTCCGCTCTCCAACAGCTCTTCCACCCCCAGAGGAAGTTCTGCCTCCTCTTCCTCCTCCTCCTCTTCTTCTTCTTCTCCTTCTTCGTCCTCTTCTTCATTTTTGTCTTTCTTTTGGCCATCTTTCCCCCCCTCGTCTTCTTCCTCTCCCTCCTCCTTCCTGGAGGAGTTGCCCATGCTGAGGCCTGCAGCCTCTGGATGATATGTGAGTCAGGACAGAGTCATATGATGAGGTAGTGT